ATTGGCCATTGCTCTACGAACGTGATTTTTCGTGCTCACTCGGGAACACCTACCATTGTGGCTAAATAAAGGTGTAGTGAAAACCGTCAACAGCTTGACATTAGACCACCTGGTTCAAATGAGCCACAAAGCAGCCAGCATTGAAGAATCCTTCTCCATCAAAAGCATCCAGATGCCGAACACTCCAAACAGCTGAGGCCATTGCGATTCACCTTAAATAACCAGTGCTCTGTGTGTAGAAGAAACAGGTCCAGCCAGCCACTGCTACTACGTTGACCTTCTGTGGACCTTAATATGCCTGATATTTAGTATAGTGTTATATTGACGCATATTATCACAATTATAGATGCTACTGAACAGTAATCTACTGATATTATTGATTCGATGTTGTTTAGTGTTGTTAATAACCCTGATTCTTTTATTATTAATAGGACTAGTGGTGTAAAACTCAGTCAGCTCGTCACTACATTAGTTGAAAGGCATCTGAATACATGCGAAAAATGGTCTAAAACCATACTCTCCGACCCCCAACACCCCCTCTATTCCCAACTCTCTCCTTGTATCTCATCAGGTAGAACCAGAAATCAGTACAAAATAATATATGCTCGTACAACCAAGTACAGGAACTAAACGATACCATACTTGGCACGCGTTTTAAGTGACAGAGACAATGTTAAACGTGAAACCTATGACTTCCTTTGTTATTAATAACATAATTTTAGGCTGTTTTACTTCTCTCTTATTTGTATTCTATAGTGAACTCCTTCTTAAACATACTCAGCTACCTAAATTATTAACATTGGCTTACTTTTTTGTACATTATTCTATCCCTTCTTTTGTGTATCTACTGGTTTCGACTATATTATCACTATGAGTATTACAAAATTTTCCTGTCATTACCATCATGTAATATAAGCTTTGTGATTGTTTTTTGTTAGAAATATTAACTGCTAATCTTGGCTGTGAACGCCATTATCACCATCTTAAAATTTTTTATTATGCAGGATTACTGACACTACCACTACAAACACCGCATTAGAGCTGACAATAAAAACCCTGAAATGTAATTTTATGATCGTTTAGTGTTGTTGTTTCAACCAAATTAACTGATCATCTTGGCGATAAACATTCTTAAATATCATTTCATAACTTCTTGTATGACTATAGTTTTACTGTCACCACGCATAATCATATCATAGCTTCCACTACCCAATACTGAGATATTGTTTATTATGTTATTTATTTTCCTTTTCGCATTTTTTTAAAATTATTTTGTGTTTTTTTGTTTTTGTTGTTGTTGTCTTTATATATTTTTTTTTGAAATACTCCTTTTAAATGTTTGATAAAATTAAATGCAAATATTGTAGATATGTGCTGAAAATTCCACACTGTACCACTAGAACTGTTTCTGGAATAAAGCAAATTGTTATTATTATTATGTCTGGATATATAACTGTAGAACCTGATGAAGAAGGCGTTATCGAAAAGAGTATTCTTTGTTCAGTAGTCAGTATTTTGAAATAATATTTAATCAATAAGGGCAGTCATAATAAACTTAATTGATGATTCGCCCTAAAGTACTTATTTCCCATTGGGTAATTCCCAGTGACAAAATCGATTAATACTTATGAAATAAAATATGATTCACTCAAAAAATTTATTTTAACGATTGTCAGACTGCCTAATTATTTATACATAACCCTTTCAGATACAATGATTGTTACTTTTTTGAATAGAAACATATAAATCTCGTATTAGTCATCGGAGTAATTCAACTGGAATTGAAAGGCGTTGACAATGTTAAGGCTGTTTTGTCTCATTGGTTAATCATTGGGAAGAAAAATACAATAAATACTTGTCCCTGATTGCCTCATCCAGTAGATAATCTTACCGTTGAGCTATAACTAGCAATTTGCTTGTAAATAGCGTCACTATTTAATTGAATTTTAGATTTTCCCGTCGATTGATTGGACTGAAGTGTTCCGTCTAAGGTTGACGTGTCAGTTTCTTGGGCAGATGCTTCGATGATGTCTGGTTATGTAACTTGAAGTCAGTTGGTGGATGGTGACTAGCAGTGGAATCCAGGATAACGCTGCATTTCGTCCTATTTGTGACTCGTCATCTGGATGTACCTGCATTCCCCAGTGAGTGATGATTTTTCCATCGAGGCTCGAACCCAAATAGGACGAAATGCGCGTTACCCTGGATTCCACTGCTAGTCACCATCCACCAATTAAATTCTTATAGCTTTACTAGTTAATGGCGACTAGAGAGACTGGCAACTCAGGTGAACGACTTTGAGCAGTCTATGTGACCGTTCCTTTTTTAACATCATTCACGAGCTACACCGATGGTTTCATCCTGATCTATACCCACTTAGAGCTAGTTTTTAGGATTAACTAAGAGTCAGGATCAGGGCTTGATTAGCGTTTGGTTCAGTTTTATAATCAGCTTGGCGTTAGGGGTGATTTACCCAATGCTCGTGGGTCTATGGGCGAATTCACACTGATGGTGAGTAGGGATATTACCACAGTAAGGTGTTTCTCTCAGATGACCTTTCCACTTCGGAAAGTAAGGCTTAAAAATCGTCGGCCCCAAAAATTACACATCTCAACTTGCCTTGAGGCAATCTGTAGCCGGCGGCAAGATTTTAATACGCAAGCAACTCCCGAATCCTCTGCATACAAGCCGGTTGTGTATGTAACCAGTCTCTAGCAGTTCTCCCCTGGGCTCTGTCGTCATGCAAATCGAATGCTCCTTTGGTTTCAGGTTATCCCAAGAAGAAATCAGAGGTTAGAGTTAGGTAAATGTTCAAGAATTAGTATTAGATTTGCCGCTGTCACACTGAAACCCATACGTTTCAGTATTCAAAAGACTTCTGGTCTAATTTAGCGCTCTTAAATTCTACTCACCTAATCAATTCATGCCTCCTCACTGTGCAGTTGTTCTGATGGATTGTTGAAGATCACTTGTTAGGTCATCTCTTACTATAATGATGCCCATAATAATGATAGAGATCTTACAATGTGATCCACTGTTACCTAAATTTTGTTTCTAGTTCTCAGTTGAGCATTTTAACAGGCAGATAAATCATAGAAAGTTCAGTCTAACAAAATTAGGAAATTAAATTTTGTTACCAAATGGAAACAAATAGGTAGGAAGAAATGGAGGTGGATTGGCCATACTCTGAAGAAACCACCAAGTGACATCACTAGACAAGCCCTTGAGTGGAACCCGAAAGGGAAGCGGCGAGTTGGTCGTCCAAAGGTGACTTGGAGGAGGTCATGTGAACAGGAGATGAAAACGTGTGGGCAGACTTGGAGCCAGGTGAAGACTCTAGCAGAGAACAGAACGCAATGGAGACGCACGGCTGAAGCCCTATGTTCCTATAGGAATTAAAGGATACAATAATAATAAAACCAAATGGAATAGAATAATTAATTGGATGGTTTGTAAGGAAAATTCATCATAAGTACTCTTCTAAAATGCTTCAATCACTCTAAGAAACACTGAAATGTAGGACAAGAATGTGCAGACAAAATGAGAAATGCTAACTACGCGTAACTTGTGTTGGTAGTTGAAAATCACTCTCATCGAATACAACTGCTCCAAACCCAAACGAAACTGACCTAAACACTGAATTTGAGAAAGTCGATCACATGGGAGATCCAGTTTAATTGATTGGAGGATTTCATCGTGAGCTGACATTGGTTAGAGAACCATTGGAAAACCAGTCAGGGAGTACTGGACAGCTATTTCTTCAGCCTAGTTTGGGACTCTTGAGCCTTACGCACCCACACCACTGGGTTTGAACACACGACCTTCTGGTTACAAGGCTAGCGAGCTCGTAGACTACTGAGTCTCTGGGACCCAATTCAACGGCCAGCCCATGAATTCCAACTTCTGCCAAATCATGAAATAGCGTAACCACTTCGCAATGTGTTCTTTGATGAGTTACTGCTTCACCTTCAACCTACTGTACCTTACTTGTTACGGCTTTCCACTAGAACCCCATATATGTTCATATGTCACTTGATCCTTCCGGGTTCCGGAGGCCATGTACGCCACAGGTTTGAAATGATCAGAGTTTCCCAGTCACCCTAGATGGTAGACCAGCATTTCAACCAGTCTAGATGTTCGCATTCACTCCAGGGAAACGTGAAGGAGGTGATTAGGACTTACTTGGAAGGCAGAGGCGTTGTGAGAGGAAGACAGAAGTCAGATCATGAGCTGACACTAGTCAGAACAGGAAAGCACTGAGTTCCAATCCTGGTGGTGGATGAGTACTACCGATGAGTCCCAAACTATGGGGATGATGCAGCTGTCCAGTACTCCCTCACTGGTTTGCAATGCTTCTCTAAATGATATCAATCCATGATGATCAAACTTGAAAAGCAAATCAAATGACTGCAAACAAACTCTTGAAAACTAGTGCCACAAGGTACTGAAGATTCCTAAACAAGGATGAAATGACTAACCAGTACTCACTGGTTTTGATAGGGCATAGCATAGTGCCCTTTGCTCAGTGTAACAAAGTCTTTATTAAGTAGGCCTGGAAAGATTACATGAGTAGGGAGCAACAAAAAGGAATAGGTAGAATACAAGAATTAACCAACAACTATGAAAGTAGAGACAGAATGATACCAGATTTTCTTAACATTCCTTACACGTAGAACGTCAAACGAAATATCTTTCTGGAAACTAACATAATGTGGGAAGATCAGGAAAGGTGATCAGAGGAAATACACTTTGGAGGGATTAAGCTCAAGACCATTTGACAAGGACCACTGACTGACTAATTTCTAATAAAAAGTTATTCATTTTGGAACAGTCTGACTGAGAAGTGACAGGCATAGAAACAGTCAGATCTCACCGACATACTTAACAGAATTGGCTTCATCAGAATGAGGCAAGTCATGTAAGCAGAAAGAAAACAGAAAAGGAGAAAGAACAACTCCTTGAGGAGTGGAGGACACTCACAACAACAAAAAATCACTTACATTATTCAATTGGTCAGATGAAAACATCATATAATGCGGTAGCATACTTCCACTATGCGGCAAAGTTTTATTATGCGGTTCTTCAGGATAATTCTTATTTGTCACTACCAAATAAACATCTAAACTTGACAGCTGTCCATGACATTTATAATGTCCCATATCTTGCATATCCACATTATCAATACGTAATATCAGTCGACCCTTATCATCATGCATTGTATACACTGTGGTTTGTATTGTATTCTGTGAATTCATTGGATCTTTCGTTGTACTTCCACTTATCGCACTGACGACAATATTATTACTCCCCAGTGAATTTGTAAGCAGCCCCTTATCCGTTGGTGGTCGTTTACCTGATGAACCAATCTGTGCATATGGATGTGGTCCAATCTCTCGGCTTGTGTAATCATCCTCTGCTTCATAAGTCCATTTAACACCACCACAACAGATAAAGTAGACATCACTGCCCACTACAGCAGTGACATTCGATGCACTGCCTAGTTCCAGTTGTGTAAACTGTCCATCTGCATTGGGTTTACAACATTCAGTGAATCCAAGATAACAAGAGGAGGCGGAAAAAATAAATCCAATGTAAACCAGATATCTGAAAGATAAAAATAACAATAACAAGTTATTAGTGTCAGTATTAAAGTTTGTGTATTGTGGAATAGATCAACTAGAGAACGATGAAACAATGGTTAGTTTTGATATAACTAGTCTTTATACTAATATACCAATCAATATGGCAGCCTTAGAAGCAGTTAGAGGAGAACTAACTGCACATCCTGAACTTCCTCACGTGACGAAGCTGCCCACTGAAGAAATTATTTTAGGAATTCAGTTATGCCTCACATCTACTATCTTTAAATTCCAGGGAAAAATATATAGACAAACAGAAGGTGTAGCAATGGAATGGATCACCAATATCCCCTATAGTAGCAGATATATTTATCGACAGCTGGGAACATATGGCTCTGAATACATTTAATCCAACTCCAAAAATATGGTAGATATGTGGATGACACTTTCACAGTGTTAAAAACAAAACATATCGCTAGCTTCCTGACACATATAAACTCACTAGTGACGGGAATAAAATTCACATTTGAATCAGAAAATGAGCAAGGAGAATTAGCTATGTTAGATTGTAAAATAAAACGAATAGAAGTAGGTAAACTACACACTAGCGTTTATAAAAAACCAACGCATTCTAATAGATATTTAAACTTTAATTCATCTCATCCGTTGTCTGTTTGTTAAGGCAGGCTTAGTTAAGTGTTTAACAAACCGAGCAATAGCACTAAGTAGCACAAGAAAAGACTTAAATGATGAAATAAAACAGAGAGAAGAATAGCTGGTTGTTGTTAACTAACTATCCTATAAAATTCATTAGGAAGATCGAAAACGGCCGAAAGCAAATTAAAAATAATTGTGAAACTAGTAATGATAACATAAATAAGAGAGAATATAAGACATTTACTGTTATACCATATAAGGACGGGACATCTGAGACCTTACGTAGAATTCTTAATAAAGCAGGAATTACGGTGACATTAAAACCTACAAACTCACTCAGGTTGGACAAGCTCTGTAGGCTAAAGGACCCTTTAGGTTGACCTAATCAGACAAAATAATATAATTTTGAAAATACCTTACAATGACTGTGAGTAAGGTCAACTACATAGGTCAAACTAGTAGGTCACGGGTAGTGGGATTGTCGGAAGATAAGAATTTAGTGGCCAAGGTAAGAATGGTTGACCCCGAGAAGATAAGTAATTTAGGAAAAAGCTCAGCAATTGCACTACATGCATTAACACACAACCACACAATAGGGTGGGAGAGGGTTACGATTCTAAGAAGTAATATAGGTAGGTTGGTGGAGAGAGAGATTGATTACCGAATCCTGCCTGGTTCATCGAGTCTACACCCAACACATGCAACAGAAATGGTTCAATGCAAATACCAGAAATATGGAAGATATTATTACCACAAGTCAGTCAAATCAGAGGAGGATAATAAATAATCTCAAAATTCTATCGCAATTCACATACATTATAACATTCTAACAAGTTACTTATTTTGATCATATAAACACTCGTCTTATTTCCCATCTGATTATATTTGATTGATAACACTCATATTATTATTTCTGAATGTACATTATCTTATATTGATGTTATTCAAATGTCTAATCAGCAATTTCACTCATATACATAAATGAAGTAAAAAGTTGTGTGAGTGACCTCATTTGATTATGAGCAGTAATAAATCGTGCTCGAAACGTCATCAGTTAATATTACTGTATAACACTGTGTGACACTTTATCAAAATAAAATCTTATCCATAATGGAGTCATACTCTTCCACAGTGCCCAAATTTTATACTTATATCCATAGATCAAATTAATTATAAGTATATTTCAATAGTTTACACACAATGATAAGATTTTTTTGTCTTGGTAATATTTCGAGCAAAAATAGCACTCGTCATCAATCCAACCAATTGTTGGAATTTGAAGTCAATTGATGGGCGGTGACTAACAGGCGAATCCAGGATAACGTGCGTTTCGTCCGATTTAAAACTCGTCATCTGGATGTACCTCCATTCTTATGGGCACTGGGTTCAAACCTTGGTGGGAACATCATCACTCACTGGGGAATGCAGGCACATCCAGCTGACTAGTCACAAATAGGACAAAATGCGCGTTATCCTGGATTCCACTGCTAGTCATCAACCACAAGTTGACTTTAAGTTACATGACCAGACATTATCGAAGCATCTGCACAAAGAGCTGACACATCAACCTAAGACTGAGCAATTCGGTTCAATCAATCGACGGGAAAATCTGAAATTAAATTAAATTACTGGAATTGTTTCGTTTCTTAATTCACACTTTTATGATTTGTAATAATATGTGTATATGGTTCATTATTTTTTTTCGTTCATTTTTGAATATCCAGGTTTATATACCAGGTTGCTGACAGATGTGCTGCTGAGTTACCCTTGTTACATGTAGTATCCGGCGTCACCTTAACGAATATATATTCCTTTCAATAGTTGATTTGTAGGGATTTGTTTTGTTTGCCCATGGACTGATATCAGCCAGAGAACCATTGAAAACCAGATGCATGCGTACTGCCGACGAGTCCAAAACTTGGACGAAACGGCTGCTCAGTACTTCCTGATTTTCAATGATTCTCTAACTAATATTAATCTGTGGTCAAACTTGTATAAATATAGATTCCGTCATTATTAGTCTTTCTTTTCATTTGTTTATATTAGATTTCAGAATACAAATTTTGTCCCATACATGTGTTGCTACGGATAAATGTTTTTCTGAATTGCTGAAGGCTTGCGTTCCTGTGGAATGACTCTTAGTTAGACATTTATGTTTGTTCACTCTTATTTTGAGTGGTCTAGACCTTTGACTCACATATTTAGTCGGACATTCGGCACAAGATATTTTCTATAGTTTGGTTTGTAAGGGTTAGTTTTGTTTTTACGAGTTGATCACGGATTGATATCAGTTAGAGAAGCATTGAAAACCAGCTGGGAGTACTGCCAGACAGATGTATCATCCTATTTTTGGGAATCATCGGTAGTACGCACCCACTGGGGTTCGAACCAAGGACCTTCTGATTACAAGGCTAGCGAACTCGTATACCATTCAGCAACTGGGACCCGACTCCTCAATGGCCAGTGAATGAATTCTAACTTCTACCGATTCGTGATTTAGCGCGATCCCAACCATTGTGGTAGGTGGGACATCCATCCTCACACGTGACATCTGGATGGACCTCACTGGTCACGACTTCTCACCATAACTCCAGGATAATCCATCCAGATGTCACGTGTGAGGATGGATGTCCCACCTACCACAATGGTTGGGATCGCGCTAAATCACGAATCGGTAGAAGTTAGAATTCATTCACTGGCCATTGAGGAGTCGGCTGAATGGTATACAAGCTCGCTAGCCTTTTAACCGGAAGATCCTTGGTTCGAACCCCAGTGAGTGCGTACTGCCAATGATTCCCAAATTATGGGGATGAAACAGCTGTCCAGTACTCCCTGGTTGGTTTTCAATGCTTCTCTAACTGATATCAATCCGTGATCAACTCGTTAGAACAAGATATTTTGTAAATGACATTAATACTTTTATCCACCATTTTTATTGGATCTTTCAGTTGACTTATTTTATTTCTAATTACTTAAATTCATTGGTTTGAACGTGGTTCGAATCCCAATATTTTTGAGGTTTCTTCAAATTTCACTTCTGATATACCACTTTTGAATGGTATTGTGACCGGTTGATTTTGCCATGCTCCTTCTTGTCATTCTCTGTTTTTACCCTCTTTCTTTTCCTCTTCTTTACATTATCCCTGATAAATTCTTTTGCGTAGTTGTTCTCGATTAGCCCTTTTAATAAGACATTTATTTCTCTTCGTTGGTCATATGGTGTTGAAGTAATTCTGCGTATTCTCTTCGACAAAACCTTGTATTAACCCTCGTTTTAATGTGAGTGGGTGGATGAGCTGAGTGATAACTAATGAATCGCTCAGAAAGGTAAGACTGGTAACGACGGAATCCATATTCATTATTGTGACGCCGGATAATACATGTAATAAGGGTGATTCAGCAGCACAACTGTCAACGACCTGAAATATAATTCCGGAGACACGAAAATGAACGAACAAATAATGAACTATATGTACATATGGTGCGTCAGTGGCACAGCGGTATAATGCTCGCCGACCCCGCGTGTGATCCGGAGCTCAATCCTCGACCACAGACGCACTCCTTTACCTCACTAGGCCAGTAATAAGACACGTAAAGAGGGAACGTTGGGCAAGAGGCTAGCAACCCAGTCCAGTAAAATTAAACATCACTGCTGCTGAAACTTCAAGCCTCTTGCTTGAAGCCCTATGTTCCACTGGAAATGTAAAGGAATAAAAAATTTTGTACATGTGATTACAAACCAAAAAGTGTGAATTAAAAAACGGGCAGTCATTTTGCTCGAAATATTACTAGAACAAAAAAGGGTAGAACGGATTGAAGGTGAGGCAGTAACTCATCGAAGAAGAAGACACTGAGAAGTGGTCGCGCTATGTCATGAATTGGCAGAAGTTAGAATTCATGCACTGACTGGCCATTGGTCTACGAGCTCACTAACCTTGTAAGCAGAAGGTTCTGGGTTCGAACCCTGACGGTGAGTGCATACTGATGAAGAGTCCCAAACTAGACTGACGAAACAGCTGTCCAGTGTTCCCATGTGATTTCCCAATCGCTTTCTAACTGATGTCAGTTCATGGTGAAATCCTTCAACCAATCAAAAAAGTTATCATTGTGCGTAAACTACCGAAATATCATTACGATTAATTTAAATAGGTTATGTAAAACCTGTAATTTTATCTTTAGGTTTGTAGCAGTAAATAAAGAAAAAGGTTCGAATTTTCAACACTAGTTTCAAATTAGTGCTTTTGTAGGATTTACAGGCTTGCCGTTCACACCATGAGAAGCGTTCCCAATAAGCCACTGTAAGCCTCATTTAGTCAGTAACTACCTTCGCTTCATACTAAAGATCAGACGGACACCAACAGGACAAGT